GTTTTTATTAGCAAAACTGCAGCCCAGAGCAGGATGGTTGCCCTGCTCCTGTTTCAAACCATCCTCCATCTAATGCTTGAACACGGGCTTTTATTATAAGAAGATCCAACACACTCCACTACATAACAAAGGAAAATGACAATGCTGCAGACAATTAAGAGATTATTAATTCATAATATTTGAATATTTAATGATAATAAGCGGGAAAAGATTGACAGCCCTTGACATCACTTCGATTGGTCAAGTGGACGGCATCGTGGATTTTGAGATATAGCTGAATGAAGAAGGGAATCCTGTAATATTATAATTCGTAAAATAACATTTAAGGCTGTAGTCAATTAATACATTTCTTATATGTATAATTAATTCTGTAGTTCAGAATATCACCTTAAAGATGGCATTTTTTTTATAACACATGTAAAAATAACCTTGCTTAATCATAGGGTTTTGAAATATGTAGATTTGGGGTAATATGATTTGTTATTTAGAGATATATGTTTTGGATTCTGGGTTTTGTATATTTCCCCCAACAAAAACATTATCTAATTGTACATAGTTTGTGAAAAAAAAAAAAAAAAAGTTAAAAAATGTGAACTCTAACGCCATGTAGGTATCAAAAACAGTTCGGTTATCATCACTAGTTTTCACATGTATGTCTGGCCTCTGTCACATCTTTCGATCAGATCAAGAGTGAAAAAAGGATCCACCTTCACTCAGTTAATTAGCTGAACCTGTCAGTCAAAAATTGTCACTTCGATGACTAATTTGGCAAGTATAGAAGGAAGATAACATAAACTCTATGACTTTATGTTTTTCTGTTCTGATTGTTCACATTCCCCATTATGACACATCGAGACAGGGGGTCTCCAACCTTTTTTAATCAGAGAGACTTTAATTTACAAAACATAAACTGGCAGAGAGCTACTCCAATTTATGCTAGTCATAATGAAAATGGATCTAATAATTTCGACTAATCTTGGGAGAACACTTCTTAAAAATATACACCATATTACTGTATAAACCCTATTTATACTGTATAATTAGATATGTAATGGGTCTAAATGATTTGTTTAAGGGTATTTGTTTAAAGTCTAATGTCTGGGCAAGCTACCTGTAAGGGGAATACAAATGGGCCGAAGCTACTGGTGGCTCCCGTGCTACAGGTTGGAGACCCCTGATCTATCTTATAGGGAAGAACAATGTAGTACAAAGATGTAACTTTTAAATTTCTGTTTTTGTTCAAAATTTTTTTCATTGGAATGTATATAATTAGGAATAAATAATTTCACATGTATGGTTAAGAGAGAAAAAGCCCTTTCATTGGTAGTTTTTTTTGCCTGCAATGCACCTCTTCTTTGGTGTAGGTTACTCTTATTACTTTTTAAAACCCTGTATATTTTGTCAACCAGATTCTCTTTCTTTATTAGCTGAATAACATGAATTTCATAATGAGAGTAGATGTATGTGATTGTGGAAAATCAATGGACAGGTAATTCCCAATGGTCAATGATGCTTATATTTACACAAAGTAGACCAGTATAGAAACCGATTTGCCCTTTAAGGCACACATTTTATAGCCTGTGGATTTGCCTACAATTTATGAGCAATGCTTTGCGCACAAATGATAATTAGATATACAATTACTTAAGGACAACCCACCCTCATAATCTGACTTTAAACAGTATAAATGCTTGTCAATAGTGTTGTATACATATCGGGTCATTATTTTATAGTCAACTTTAGTGAAAATTAGGTGATAGATCAACTTTCTGCAAATCCGTCAGTGAGGTGCCATCTGCAGGCGACTTATATTTACTAACATTTGAACTTTGAATCGGGCGGCCAACATTGGAGCTGCCGCGCGAAGGCTGACAGTCTGCAGTTGGAAGGCTGACGTCTGAGGTTATATATCGGCCCAGTCTTGTTCACGCCCCGTTTTTTAACGGTTGGTTGTCAGGTTGCGATTACTTGTAGCATGTTGGTAGATTTTATGTAGCATAGCGGTTGGTATTATAGATTATTAGTGTTAATAGCATTGTGGTTTCCAATTTTGGGTTTTAGTCATTAGTTGCTTTTTATTGTTAAAGTGATTTTAGCTTAGGACTGGTTGTATTAAGTGTTCGTATATCGTGTGCAATTTCATTGTTAATGGATTATAGTACATGTTGTACAGAAATGCTACTTTATGTTTGAGGGTGTGTTAAAATTACTGTCTCTTTGTGCACATTGGGGTATCATTTCTATCTAAAAATGCCTTCGGGGGGGGGTTTTTTTCTTGCAGCAACGTTTTCCCTGGGGTGACAGGAGGTGTAGGTGGCGAGGTTATTGTGGCAGAGTTTAGAATATACAGTGTCTGCGAAAAGTATTCAGGCCCCCTCGAACTTTTCAACATTTCGCCCATTCAGGCTTCAAACATAAATATAATAATATTTTAATTTTTTGTCATGATATCAACAACAAGTAAGACACAATCGTGAAGTGGAACAATATTTATTGGATGATTTAACCTTTTTAAACAAATAAAAAACTGAAAAGTGGGGCGTGCAATTTATTTGTAGGCCCCTTACTTTCAGTGCAGCCAAACTCACTCCTATGATGTTCAGTGAGGATCTTTGACTGATCCAATGTTGTCCGAAATGACTGAGTGTTGTAATCAAGTCCTCCGTATAAATGCACCTGCTCGTTGATAGTCTCAGGGTTCTGTTTAAAGCGCAGAGTGAAACATGAAGACAAAAGAACACACCAGCCAGGTGCCGAGAATATTGTGCGTGGAGAAGTTTAAAGCCGGATTTGATAACAAAAAGATTTCCAAAGCTTTGAAAACATCTCAAGGAGCACTGTGCAAGCAATTATATGAAATGGAAGGAGTATCGACCACTGCAAATCTACAGACCCGGCTGTCCCTCCAATCTTTCATCTCAAACAAGGAGAAGTCTGATCAGAGATGCAGCAATGAGGCCCATGATCACTCTGAATGAACTACAGCTAACTGCGCTGAGGGTGGGTGAGTCTGTCATAGGACTACAATCAGTCGTGCACTGCACAAATCTGGGCTTTATGGATGATGGCAAGAAGAAAGCCATTTCGCATAAGATATCCATAAACACGTCTTTTGTTTAAAAGTTTACACAAGCCACTGGGAGACACACCAACATAGTGGAAAGAAGGTGCTCTGGTCAGATGAAACCAAATTGATCTTTTTGGCCAACAATGCAAAACAAATACTGTTTGGCGTATAAAAGCAACACAGCTCATCACCTGGAAACACCATCCACACTGTCAAAATGGTGGTGGCGCATCATGGTTTGGGCCGGCTTTTATTCGCTAGGGGGTGGGGGGGGGGGGAGGGGGGGACAGGGGAAGATGGTTAAAATTGATGGGTAGATGATGGAGCCAAATACAGGACCATACTGGAAGAAACCTGGTTGGGTTGCAAAAGACTTGAGACTGGGACGGAGATTTATCTTCCAAACAGCAGACAAATGATCCAAAACATAAAAGCCAAAATCTAAATGAATGGTTCCAAATAGACGTATCAGGTGTTAGAATGGCCAAGTCAAAGTCAGACCTGATTCCAATCGAGGAATCTGTGAACTAGCTGAAGACTGCTGTTCACAATACGCTTCATCCAACGCTCACTGAGCTAATGTGTTTGGGCAAGAAGAATGGGCAAGAATTCAGTCTTCGATTGTGCAAAATGATAGAATACACCAAGCGACTTGCAGCTGTAATGACAAGCAAATAGGGTGGCGCTACAAAGTATTAGCGCTAAGGGGTGAAGGGGTGTTGGGCCGAATAATATTGCAAGGCCCCACTTTTAGTTTTTTTATTTGTTAAAAATAGTTTAAATTATCCTTATAAATTTCGTTCCACTTCACGATTGTGTCCCACTTGTTGATTCTTGAGATTGGAGGAGAGCGAGCACTTTTTTGGCCTGATTCCATACACAGATGAATCAATGAGCTCAAGTTTCATTAAATTCCGGATTATACTCCACACTTTCTCTGTATTAATAAGCATTTTTATGAACTCATTTAAAAAAATTGGGTCAGTAGCTTCTTTACATCAGTCGTATATTAGAAGCTAGCTATTCTTGTAACTGTGTATTATTGACTGGATTATGGGACAAGTTTCTCCCGATGTTAGTGGTTTTGTCTTCGTTGAGAAATGAAAAGTGTCCCTGAAAATAATGATACCAGGAAAAAGTTTATCATCTTTTAGTATTTTTGGTTTGATTTTGTCTTTTAATTGTTTTAGTGCACCAGATAACATGTATACATCGAATCCAACGGTGATCTCAAAGTTTAAACACGTTGAGATCAACACAATCTAAACCAGGTGTAACTTTTGATCCTCCGATTCAAAAGTGGACTTTTATCTTGTCTGCACCTAAAACCCATAATTTCAAGTCAGTGTCAACACTTAAGTCACGGTTTTATCAATATAACAATTATATCTGAAGAGAGTATTGAGACAGAGGGTGGCCATAGTGATGCATTCTGGGGTTTCCACTTTCCAGAGGCCAGTGTCGGCAGCACTTCCTGTCGGCCTGCACAACACTTTCACTTTCAAATGAGTGAGTAACAAGCACGGGTGGATTTTTCATTAGAGTCATTGGTGACACTTTTCAAGGTCTTCAAAAGGATAGTTATAATTCCAGATAGTAAATGGTCTCTTGCAATTTTTTTTGTCATTGCACAATGTCCCCGTCAAAATGTTATTTATTGTTCAGACGGACTTACGAGCTATTTTGTGTGCAAAGAATTAATAAACAGCCTGGCCCTAGTTAGCATTTAAAGAATAAAGGTAAAATACAACACCCTAACCACCACCACGTTTGCAAAATGTTGTTGTATATAGTTGTGTATATAGATACACAATAATCAACACACAAAATATTTACATCTAATTAATGTAAATAATATCTAACTTGGCACACATGATTATCTATGGCATTTAGGCCCCGAGTTTGAAAACTGTCCCTGTGAGCTACCCTTCCCTCACAGACTGAGGTAGAAGTTCAGGCCCGTGCAGTTCCGGTCATCCGGGTACCCCTCCCCCCCCCTTTCCCCCCCCCCCCCCCCCCCCCCCCCCCCCCCCCCCCCCCCCCCCCCCCCACCCCACCCCCACCCACCCCACCCCCCCCTCCCCCCCCCCCCCCCCCCCCCGTCCAAATGAGGATGAGGACGATCACATAAGGTCTCATCTGGATTGTAAACTGTGACGTCAGCACTCCATTAATTCCACTCCTACTCTGCAGGCACTTCAGTTTCAAAATACAAGTGCATAGAAAAACAGATTTAAACAACTGCTTTACCCCTATTTAGAGCATATTGAGATTCATCCCTCTATCCATCTTCTTACCTTAATCCATTTAGGGTTAGAGGGGTGGCCAGTCACAGCTTCCCCCAGTACACTTAGCACTCAAGCCCTCATGATCTCTGTAGTTGGTGAGTCCAAGGAGCTGAGATCTTTCGGGGGGCTTCAGGCAAAGTGGGGATAAAGTGTCTTGCCCAAGGACACCATGACCGCAGACATTAAGTGGGAGTCGTGAGTAGGTCTTACAGTGAGCTCGAAACCCTCGACCTTCAAGCCCAAAAGCCAAGCTCTACGAAGTGTGCTAAATATTGGACTGGGAAAATCTATTGCTTCTAAATTCCTTAAAAATACTGGAGATATTCCCAAAAACTAACTTTCTTGGCAAAAATGTTGTTGTTCAACGGTGAGAAAACCGCCCTGGCCATGTGTGTATTCATAGGATTCATCACGAGTTTAACAACATGCATTTAGTCCGAAAGGTTAGGGAACCTGTTTGTGCCCGACGTTCCTGACATTCGCACTGGATGGCGCTTAAGATAACTCCAGGTGTGTATTTACATAGAATCAGAACATAGTTTCCACCCCATTGCACACCTTTGTAGTAAATTTGAGCCCGATAAGAGATGTAAATTGAAACAGTGTGGCCCTGGGGACCATATGCCGGAACCAGACGCCCACTGTAATGAACACATGAGGCATTTCAGAGGTTTACGGCATATTTCAGAAATATCGGATGTTTGGACGTTATGAGGGCGATGGAGCCCATGGCCACTGCGCCTGCACTTTCCGCTTGAAGTGCACTGGGGATATAAAACCAGCAAAGACATGTATTTGCGGCATGTGATATTTTACTTGGAGGCCTTTCTTGCATGAACGCTTCAGTGAACATATTCAGAGCCTTCAGTTTAACATAGATCTCAGATGAAAGATGAGTTTATCTCAGCTATCGTAACGCATGACATTCATTTGTGTATAAGGAGTTGATCATTAATGGTTTATTCATACTTTCTCTAACCCGTTGATTCCAGTGCTGCAAATGAATATGTTCCACAGACGTCATATAAAAAGGGCAGTGCGACAATCGTGGAATGGATAACCTAAGATGAGTAATTGAATTCAACTTATTCAATTTGAACATTGAATGCGCCTTACAAAGCAGAAGTTGGAGTACACTCCAAAAACCACTCAATGTATGGGATAACCAAACATGTTAAGATTCAGTGAATTTGCCCTTTGCAGTATAACCCACCTTGGATAACTGCAAGACTACTCCAGTATGCACAGAGTGGTACACACTAATGGTGCCATGCCTGAGTCGATGAGTTATGTTCCTGCAGAGAAGCTCCAGACCCTTGGAGCTTTCCAACAAGTCTTTCATTTTACAGCACTCTTAAAGCACCTTAATTCATGTACAATAGGATATCTGACCAAGGCCGACCATAAAAATTTGAAGACTGCGTCCACTGGGCGGCCTGTACTACAGAAAGAGTGGCTCGCCTTTGCCGTTATGGGTGCAATACAAGGGGACATAATCTCCCTATGGGGGACATACAGGATAATCCTGTGCTCTCTTATGAAGAAGACACCATTTCAGCGGCCCATATCTCTTTAGCTAGCTAAGTGACATTTTCACCCATCCCAAAGTAAATACTGACTGAATAGGGCACTTAAAAGTATGCCATTTTCCAAAAACTGCCATGTACTGGGTGTACACTTGCACTAAATATCAATGATCAGGGAATCTGATGGTATACTAAATCCTTCCAGACTACATTTTTTATGTAAACAATGAATATTCTTTACCGTCTATCTGTGGGGTTGTCCTGGACACTTTAATACCGGGGATGTAAAATCCCCCCCCCCCCCCCCCCCCCCCCCCATTTTTTTGTGGGGGTGGGGGGGGGAACATTGCCTTGCCCCCCACCTAGGGGTGCCCCCCCACTGTTTACGGGTCTAATTAAACCAATGTTTTTATATACAAATTCAAATTTCTACGTTGTGCATTGTACACCCCATTATCTGTTTCCACGGCTCGACAAGACCTCTACACACCCCGGTTTGCATTATTTAGTATAGGCTTACCCCCTGGTTCTACCCGACTGGAGTAGAACCAACACAATCAAAAACATAGGCAACTGTCAATCGTGAATAGTCAGAGGCCTGTCCCAATCACCACTTTGGCTGTGCTTTCAGCTGAAGAGTGCCTCAAAATTCCTGCTGAAATCCTTACGGCAAAACAATTCCTGGTCGCTGGCTTGTGGGACACCTTCCTCAGTTTGGTCAGAGAGGAGCCCGATGTGCCACCCGAACGAGAAGGTGTTTGCGGAGGTAGTGTAGCGCTAATGGACACCTCGAACATCATCACCAACTGCCAACGGAAAAGTTAAGAAGCTTACCATTAAAGATCAGCAAAAAGTGGATCGAACAAAAGCTTGGCGGTGTTTGCAAGTACGGTCATCGACTAACACCAGCTAACAGTGGTAGAGGGTCTCAGCTACCAGATGTTGGCGTTTGCGAGGAATGCTAGTGTTGTCAAAAGTATATCGTCCTGTACATCGAATATGTGTCTGTGTGGTTCAGAAGTCACCCCCACATGTTAATAATTAACACAGGGTCTTGGTAAGGCTCTCAACCAAGTCGAGTCGAGTAGAGCCAGTGGAAACGGAGCTGTAGATCATCACTAATAGCAGCATTGAAGAAGGGCTGCTAATATGTCAAAATAGCAATTGCGATTCGCCCATTTTCAATAGTCTGTATGTTAAAAAGTTGGTTCTTTAAAATGGTTCCATTTGAAAAAGCAGCAATTCTATGAAGCCATTACCTCAGCCGCCAATTCCCACACATTTCACGAAATTGCCTATAGAGCAATATTTCCTAAGTCACTATATATTTAAAATCAAGATGGTTTATCTATCTCACAACATCTTGTACTTGTTCAAATGGTTCATGTGGAAGAAAATTATAACTTTGTTCATTGACAGACCTTTAACATACTTCAAATCAAGAGAGATTATCTAAATCTCTAGCTAGTCTTTTTGACCCTTTTTTGTGTGCAAGAATTGGATAATTGCAACCGTGAAAATTGCTATTCAATTGAATGCGTTAACTGCATCCAGCCCGGTTACAGATGGTGTAATGTGTTCTTTTATAACAGTTGTAAAATGTGTCCCTCTCTGTTACAACTCATGGTCTCTTTATAAGTGTTAATTCATGATCATTGGAGGTCATTTCCACACAAATTGGACGTTAGAAGAGATCTTACCGTGAAGAAGCGGGAGGGCAGTGTTCTAAAAGCACTTCTTGATGTACCAGCTGCGCCTCCTCCTCCTGCTCTGTTAGTACACACTCTCACTCTCCTTGTTCACCACAGCTTTGCTTTGCAACACTTCACTCAAAGTCCCATCTGAAGCAACATTTTTCTTTGTATAAAATTGTGTCTTTTTTCGAACTCCTCACATGTGTCATCTTGACCTTTTAGATAGTACAAGAAGCTATCTTGGATTCTAATGCTGTATGTCCTACATTTAAGTAGCTGGGCGCAACCAAAACCTTTCGCCCGCAACATTATTTTCCAGCTGGAAAGTTTGGTCTGGCACTGCTCTGTTGGGGCAGAATTATATTCCGGACGCAACTCTTACCGGGACCAATCAACTTGTTTTTTTTGTTTAATAATTACCAGGCTTTATACGCTGATGGGCAGATAAGGTCGCTGTAGAACTGGATAAGCTGTAGGAATACGAAGCACGGTTGTTTTTCTGGCGGCACGGGATGCTGTCCATCTGTTGAATAGCCATAAATAATCTGTGAATCACATCCATGACGCTGGATTTTTATTTATTTTTTCTATGCACACGAGACCCCATTAGCACATTAGTGAGTTAAAGACATCAGGCATAAGCTATCTGATCCTATATTCACAGTCAGCAGTGATGAGAGGTGTTCACCACTTGCCTTGCATATATTTTCAAGCTCTTGACAAGTAGAAAATTCTGCACCAGTCTCATACTTGAGAAGACTGTCATCAGTCCAGACCAGCTCCACCAAAAGGACGGAGCAGCAAAAGGCTCTCTCTACTAGATGAGGTTCTGCACAACCCTACTCCCCTGAGCTATAGGTTCCATAAATGGTTGGAGTGTTGTTCGGGGGGGGGGTAGAGACTTGAAGATTAAGAGATCCTTTATTCGTCCCACCGTGGGGAATTTTGTCAATGGTTGCATCACAATTTATTCTACCAGATGGGAATGAGGTGGCACACTGCACAAGATAAGTGAATCATAGCTATACTAAGTAAAATAAGAAGACCAACATCCTCGAATCGCGAGCATTACATAGAAAAATTCGATCTTGAACATAATTTAGAAAGAAGTAAAGGTTATAAAAATTGGCAAAATGTACATGTTAGCAGCAGTATATATTTACATCTGTACATGTGAGGAGCAGTATGTTAACATCTGTGCATTAGCAGCAGTGTATTTACATCTGTACATGTTAGCAGCAGTATGTTTACATCTGTACATGTTAGCAGCAGTGTGTTTACATCTGTATATGTGAGCAGCTTTATGTTTACATCTGTACATGTTAGCAGCAGTATATTTACATCTGTACATGTGAGGAGCAGTATGTTAACATCTGTGCATTAGCAGCATGAGGCTCTGAGACGCAGTGACTCAGTAAAGTGACAGTGACAAAAGGGATGGACAACTCTTGTCAAAGTCATCTGCAAGTCCAACGATCTTACCTTGGAGAGATAGCTATGGAAACATGGTCCATCACAACGGACCTCCAACTGCTGTAGCCTTTTTTTTTTTTAAACTTAATTCAGATTATAGTTAGAGCATTCTTCCCTTTTGTGCATGTATTTTCTACATGCTACGAGATCATATTTTACAGCCAAAATGAACACAACGCGTTTATTTTGATGAGCTAAATTATTCCGTTGTCCACAAGTTGGTTTTTACAGTGTATCAATTGGCTGGTAGTCAAATGGATAGAGCCCATGTAAGTGTACAGCCTTGTTATAAAGTGAGAAGCGTTGTTTCCTAGTCTCGCCTGTAATGGCAGTGTGTGACATGGCTTTATAAGCGGCTTCAGAGCGGGTTGTGGAGCGAGGGAGCAAGCCACAACTTCCTGTTTGGGACAGAAATAACTGAAGACTGACGCGTGGGCCCAGCAACGACGCCTTGATTCACATACACTCAAAACTTTTGATATTGAGCATACTTGTCAATGTTTTTTTGTCATTTTTTTTTATAAGGGTGGGAATTGATAAAACTAACGTAACTAATTAATCGTATAGCTAGAAAAAAATAAGTTTTATCCTATTGTCAGCTTCTAAACAAAATGAATAAATTAATACATTGTATATATTTATGTATATAATGTGTGTGTGTGTGTAGTAAACAACTGATTGAACCTCAGCACAATTTGCTTAAATGTATTACTTTATTTTTATTTTTTATTGCTATTATGCAATGTGAACAATGTGCAACTCCATATAAACAATATCTGTCTTCAGGTATTTTTTAATTTATCCCTGAGTTTCGACCTCAAAAAATTGTTTGAAATGTAAGTGTAAGTGCATTAGTTT